TTTCATCCCATTTACTACAGTTGAACTGTCATAGATACACATAATCATTAACAATAGATGCAAAATAAAAAAACTGAAACAAAGGAAAAAAAATGAAAATTAGGACATTATATAATAAAAAATATAGACAAAATATCAGAAAAAGCAATCGTCCTATTAAAATCAATTCCTAAGAAACTCAGTGGAAAACCCAAAGAGATCTTTGAAATGACAATCAGATGACGCGCATGCTCTCATCACATTTACTACAGTTGAAATGTAATAGATATACACATAGTTATTAACAGTGGATGCAAAATAAAACAAGAAAAAAAAATTAAAGCAAATTAGGACATTATATGATTAAAAAATAGGAAAAATATCAGAAAAAGCAATCGTCCTATTAAAAACCAATTCATAAGAAACTCATTGGAAAACCCAAAGAGATCTTTGAAATGGCAATCAGATGACGCGCATGTTTTCATCCCATTTACTACAGTTGAACTGTAATAGATACACATAATCATTAACAATAGATGCTAAGTAAAAAAACTGAAACAAAGAGAAAAAAATGCAAATTAAGACATTATATAATAAAAAATATAGACAAAATATCAGAAAAAGCAATCGTCCTATTAAAATCAATTCCTAAGAAACTCAGTGGAAAACCCAAAGAGATCTTTGAAATGGCAATCAGATGACGCGCATTATTTCATCACATTTACTACAGTTGAACTGTAATAGATACACAATTTTTTTTTCTTCTTCCCAACAGACGCAGACAGGGTTCATGCTCTACTTGAAAAATGAAATTCAAGTACTTTTTAAGACATATTATAAAATTCTCAAGGACTTAAAATTTCAGTAAAAGATAGAAAATGGAAGAAATGGAAGNAATGGAAAACCCAAAGAGATCTTTGAAATGGCAATCAGATGACGCGCATGTTTTCATCCCATTTACTACAGTTGAACTGTAATAGATACACATAATCATTAACAATAGATTCAAAATAAAAAAACTGAAACAAAGGGGAAAAAATGCAAATTAGGACATTATATAATAAAAAATATAGACAAAATATCAGAAAAAGCAATCATCCTATTAAAATCAATTCCTAAGAAACTCAATGGAAAACCCAAAGAGATCTTTGAAATGGCAATCAGATGACGCGCATGCTTTCATCACATTTACTACACTTGAACTGTAATAGATGCACTATTTTTTTTCTTCTTCTCAACAGATGCAGAATAAAAAAGCAAGGAATAAGTAATGCAAAGGAAAGTATATGATAGAAAAACATATTAAATGTAAAAGAAAATCATGTATTTATTGTTCAGTTTCAAGAAATATGTCGCATATGTTATAATTTTTCTTAAAGTTGAACAATAGACACACGATTTTCTTTTAAAAAAGCTAGACTAAATAACACAAGATAGAATGTAGAATACTATAAACTTAAAATAAGAAAGAAACTTTGAAAAAATATCAGAAAAAACAATCATCCTATACAACCAATTCAAAGGAAACTCAATGGAAAACCCAAAGAGATCTTTAAAATGGCAATCAGATGACGCGCATGTTTTCATCACATTTACTACTGTTGAACGGTAATAGACATAAGATTTCTTTTAACAGATGCAGAGAGAAAAAATTAAAAAACAACAAAAATGTAATGAAGTAGAAAACTATGTGATACAGAGAAACAGAAAAAATGTCGCAAGTTTTATAAAAATTAATTACACAAAACCCATCGGAAAACTCGAAGATATCTTAAAACTGGCACTCTGATGACAAGCATGTTTTCATCCTATTTACCACAGTTGAACAAAGGACATACACAATTCTTTTGAGAATAACAGAAGCATAATAAAAAATAAATAAAAATCTTGGAAACAAAATACAGTATATAATTTTTTTCTGAACAACTTATGGCGTAAAAAATATACTATAAAATACTGAATAGAATCCACACAAATGTTGAGAAAAATGCGCATTTTCGAGAGGGGATGGTGAAAGAGTACTGATTGTAAAATACTAGTTATAATCTGTGAAATTACAAAATCAACATGTTTCATAGGATTAATCCCGAAAATATTAATAACCACAATTATAGAATATATTAAAAATGTACAAACCCAAATAATTTAATTAAATTGATCATGGAAATAAAATTGCTAAAGCAATTTCTGAAACATATTTTACACTAAATAACTTGTAATAACCGCAATTTGATCTCTCATTTTTTTAAATGAAAAATGCAGATACAATTCTAACATGTGCAATCAATGAACAATAAACAAATACAATTAAGATAAACAAAGAGCAGTGTTCTCTAAGTCTTTTTAGAAGGGCGGACTGCACTGCCTGTCCTTTGAATCCTATAAATGCACACTTCTTGCCTTTTTTTTTTTTGTAAAAATAAGCCACTATTCCTTAAAAACTGTGCCTTTTTATCTTTTCAAGACTATATTATTTTCTTAACCAGCCTGTTTTATTGAAAATTCCACTTTTGATTTATTTAGTTGTTAATAATAACTATTTAACTTTAATTTTCAATTCTTTATGTTAGTAAGATTTTTCTTATGTTGTCTAGTTATATTGTTAAAATTCACATGACATTTGGCACCAGAGATATTTACATGAACTTTTTTTCCTTCATTAATTTTGACTAAATTATTCAAACATATTGTAATACTAGAGAAGTGGAATTTTTTTTGGAAAAAGTATATTTTTCCTAAAAGAATTCCAACTCGACACTAAAAAAAGCAGGAGTCACTTGTGCGTTATAATATGGCAATATTCAAAGTATACTGTTAAGCCATTTAAAGCACTTTCAAGCTCATACAGAAACCAAACAAATGTATATCAGAACTTACTCTTTTTGGAAAAGAAGTGTATCAATAATTAGATCTTGACCCTTTGGGTGATTGAAGAACACAAAAAGGCTCCAATGGATCAACCAAGTTCTCTGCATCAATGTTATTAGAGGAGAACCAAATGACTATAAGGAGAATTTTATTTTTAAAAGCAAGTTGAAAATCATTTAAAAAATTATAAAGAAAATTTTAAAAATATCAGAAAAAGCAATCGTCCTATTAAAAACCAATTCATAAGAAACTCAATGGAAAACCCAAAGAGATCTTTGAAATGGCAATCAGATGACGCGCATGTTTTCATCACATTTACTACAGTTGAAATGTAATAGATACAGATAATTATTAACAGTGGATGCAAAATAAAAACAAGAAAAAAATTAATGCAAATTAGGACATTATATGATTAAAAAATAGGAAAAATATCAGAAGAAGCAATCGTCCTATTAAAATCAATTCCTAAGAAACTCAGTGGGAAACCCAGAGATCTTTGAAATGGCAATCAGATGACGCGCATGCTTTCATCACACAAACAAGTTGAAAATCATTCAATGAATTCTGATAACTTAACTTCTAAAACTTTTTTAATTACTAAACACAATCAAAATTCGAAATGAGTGAAATAGGATCAAATCTTTAAAAGCTTTCTTACTCAGCAAGCAGAAAAAAAAAAAATACAGACAATCCATACATGGATACTTTAGGTGTCTATTATATATAAATAGAAATTCAATGCACATACTTTTTCATAAAATACATAAGGGCAAAAGGTTAAAACTAATTTAATTATAAATAGATATGTGAATTTATTTTGAAATAGCATGCTCGAAGGCAGCATAATGAGAAAATAATATAATGTGGTTACTTGATACCATATCAACACTAATACGAATGCAGAACTTAGACAACAATGCCTGTGAATATTTAATTAAAAACTATAGATATATCTGGCTAATAAAATCAGTTTTATAGACAGAGCTGTATGTATCAATTGTAATAATTAAATCCTATTTTAGATATTCATTAAATCATATATATATATATTCAAAAAGTGTAACAGCAAGTTTAAATATCCCTATATAAGGTATTCTCAATATAAATTTAAAAAAGTATATATTTTTTGCAGGCTGTTACTTTCAGTTAAATGAAACAAAGCAGTACAACTGACTTTATATACAGTATACTCTCAATATCTCAAAGTTGAAGGGAAGATTTTTTTTTTCTTTTAGAGATACAGTGGAAAGTCGCGTATCCGGAATCGGCGGGACTTTCCGAAGTCCGTATATTCGATTTTTCCGTATAATTGACCTCCAAGGTAAACAAAGCTTAAAATGATCTGAATCTAAGAAACAGAAAATAAATAAACATTATTTTTCGGGCAATAATGTTTTAGTATTTGAATGATATCTAATCAATCATAAACAAAATATTAGAAAACAAATAATTATTGCTATTCTAAAAATAAATATAGAAAACGTAAAAAATTCCCAGTTATGAAAATATTAATTGCTCTCTCCACCATTTTGAACTAGAACGATTCAAGCAAGAAGGGGAAATTCCCGTCATTCAATAAGGTGGGTAGGTGGAGAAGAAAAATTCATTTCCTCCTTACNTTTTGAGATAACAAGTTCCGAACTCAATGAGTTCTAAAAGGTAGAAAAATATTTTCTAAAATATTACTCAAAAAAGTAGAGTCATGAAACATAAATAACAAGATTTCGAGAAGAAACTTTTTGACAGAGGAATTCAAATTAACATTAGGTGGATATATAATGCCAAGAGGGAGAATAGTTTTTCTTTGGCATAACAAGGTTTTAGAAACATTTTGAATTAACATGAGATAAAATTGGCTGGACATGCAAGAAAACAAATATGATAATGTAACTGGCAATTAAAACAACCCTAAGCCAGTTGCATACCTGTAAACTTCTATTTTTGAAAAATTCTAAAACAAACTGCGGAAGAAATTACTTAAAATGCAGAAGATTTTACACACTTTCAATTTTTATTCCTTGTTCAAAGAATCAACAGAACTGCTAGTGGAATATAGTGTTCACAATTGGAATTTATTGTTTTAATACAATTAGCTCAAATAAATATGAAATCGTAGAAAATAACAATTGTTTTTTCTGTACTATCAGTCACTTTAAATTTCAGTTTTGCAATAATTAATGGACTACAAAATTAGTCAATCTGAAATGCAATTCATGACATTATTAGACATGGGAAGAGGAGAGGGCCTATCTTTACATACATGTGTATACATAAAAAGTTCTAAGACTGTGCAAAATTTTAAGTTTCACAATTCAGAAAATTTAAATCTCAATGTAGAAAAGTTAACAGCTATGCAATAAATTAACAGTTAACACATTACGGAGCCTAAAGTAAAATAGCAAACTTTCTTTGTAAAAAAGACCTTAATATTAATATGAAATATAAATAAATCAGAAATTTTTTTCTTCTGGATATCTTACACTTGTATCAATATATTCCTTAAGGCGATTGAAATCATCCAAAGCTGCATCCCAGTTTTGCATGAGAATTTCTGCAGCCAGCTGGCCCCACATTGCATTCAAATAATTCTTATCCGAGGAGGGTACCTAAAAAGAATACAAATAAAATTTAAAAGAAGTTTTAAAAAAATTATTTTTAAAATGTTTATATTTATATAAAAAAATATTGAAAATGCAGTGATGCAAATTTGTCAGCATCTTTTAAGATCTTGATTTAGTGCCCGTTTTTACTAAGGTGTAGAATAGATTTTTCTTTTACAAAAAACAAAAAGCTTCCATCATAAAATTATTGAAAAATCACATGATTGATAATAGTATAATAAATTTAAAATATTAAACATTCATTATAAGTATTAAAAAAAATGCAACAAGGAATTTAGAATAAAACAAGAAACTCTAAAATATTCAAATTTATGTAAATTTTTTCAGTTTTTGTTTCTTTGAGTTTTTTTAATATATATTTAAATAAAAGTTTCGGAGTAAAAACACAGCGTACATTTTTAATATGACCCCCTACAATAATGTGATCTTTCTATTATAGCAATCAATATACATCATATTCTATAAGCGTAATGTTATTTTAAAGACATTAAATATCTGAACTGGATTGTTCATTCCAATATATCAACTGAAAATAGCTTAGCTTAATTTTTTTTTTTAAATTCCAAGGAAATCATTCTAAAAACAGGTTGTAAAAACTGTTATTCTTTTGGAACAAATGTTTTCCCACTGAAGATAGAAAAACATTGACTATTTTTTGTTGTTGTCCTAACCACTCAATAAACATGAGAAATTTTGAAGTGACAGAACATTTATTTTTGTTCTAGGTGGCTCTAAATGTACCGTATGGCAAAAAAAATTGATATATTGATAACTTTTCATTACAAAAAATTCAGGGTGGCCACTCAAATCAAATTTCCCTGATTTTTCCAGGTAAAAACCTTAAAATTTCCTGATCAACGTGCCTTTTTTCATTCTCATAAAGTTTAGGATGGATACAAGAAAAGTGTCAATATAATGAAGTATTTTATTTAAAATGCTATTTTTTTAATACATTATCTTGAAAATATAATTAAGACTAAATTCATTTTAAAAACTTAGCAAGATTGATTTTTATTTTTCAATGTTTAGGTGCAACATTAATTTCTAAAAAATTAAGATAGATGAGGTGAAAAAATATATTGCATAATATCACACATTTTGATAAATTTTTAAGGTGTTAAGTGAAAGACTTAAACCCTTTCAAAACTCAAAGTGACCTTTTCTGTGAGGAAGCACCCTGCCTTCTTTATTTCATTGGGAGTAACTCTGGTACCAACTTATTACATATATATATATATTAATTTTAACCGGAAAAAAATAGTGATCGATAAAATTTAATTTTCTTTATCAATTAAGAAAAATAATTTATATTTTTCACAAAAATGGGCCCTAAAAATAAAATCTGGTTCGACCCTAGAATATATTATGGCTTTATAATTTTCAAGTGGAACAGCAATTCCCATGCTTTACACGAGTTTTGAAAAACAAGGTTAATTGAACTCATTTATCAAACCTTGGCGATAGAGGATTAAGAAAATTAATAATAAAAACAATAATTTATAACAGATTATAAAACACTATTCATGCCAAAAAATTTCTTAATAAAAAATAAGAATAGAAAATCTGAAGCTAATCCCCCCTTCTATCTATCATGTAACAATAATCCCATTTTCAATCTAAAGTTTTCCAAGGCACAAAACTATGGTATGCTACAGTTTTGTGAAATTTGGCTTCATGCCAAATGGGTGAAAACGGAACTCCTGCATAGCAAATGTGATTTATGGGAAGTATCAGTGCAAAAATCACACCTTTGGCTCTCGCAAAATCTAACTGCCAGACTTTTGGAGATTCAGACAAAAAATTTTTTAATTTACTGATATTTTGGAAGATTTCTAAAATGCCTGACTTTTCTGGTTTTCTAGGTAGCGTAGCAACCCTGAATTTGCACTTGCATCAAATTATGCACAAAGCTAATCATTTAACAAATCTCTTTAATGGTAATTTATAATAGCATATTAATGTCATTTACACTAAAAAGTAATAATTGCAAAACTGTTAATAAGTGTAGACACAGATTTCAATAAGTTTACCTCAAAATGTAATGTAATAAGGTAGTATCATAGAATTATGTTACAAATAAAGAAAATGCTCTTAGCCTTAAACTCTTAATTGAGAAAACAATTCAAAAAATGTAATAATGACAGTTAAAAAAAGGAAAATAAATATTACAGATACTTTTGAATATAGTATACAAAAATATTTTACAGGAAAAAGCCTTTATGACTTTTTTTTTTATGCTGATGATAAAAAAAAAAATGGAAATTAATTTGGGAAAACAATTCAAAATAATTCAGTTTAAAAGAGCATTTTTTTACTCAAATAGTTTTTGAAATGACACAACTGCAGTAAAGAAACACCTTTGTAAAACAAACACAAATATTACCTTGAAATTATCATCAAATAAAAAAGGATCAGCAGTTTTGTTTAGATGCAAAAATTTCACCTTTATCAAATTTAAATTCTTACCAGTAAGCGATAAAGATATAGATACTCTGTAGCAGCTTGATAAATACCACACTCGTACTGACTTTTAGCTAAAACGTAAACTGAATCCAAACTTTCAACTTTGAACTAAAATAAGATTACATTATCAGTTCAAAAAATTGTACATAAAAAAGTTTATATAAATAGATAAAAGTAAGAGCTAAGAATCAAGTAAAATTTTTATAAACTGGATGAAGAACTTATTGAATAAAACAAGTACAGAGGTGACCAATGATCAGTTAAAAAATTTTTTTTCTTTTAAAACAAACAAAAACATTTACCATAAATAAAAAACAATGATTGCATGATGAGATAATGAAATGAACTACATATGACCCACATAAACAAAATTAGAATGTAAAAAAATAGATACTGCTATAAGAAGTTATTACCTTAAATATTTCATCAAAAAGGAAATCTCCTTAAAAATTACTAAAAGGAAGAAAAATATTCTTAACTAAATTCTTCACAGTTGAAGTTTTATCAAACAATACCAGTTAAAATGAAACTGCAACAATTATAATCATTATTTCCGTAAATTTATAAAATCAATATAAAAGAGAATTTAAAAAAATGAATCCACTCTTAAAGATTTAATGTAAAATCATTTTAGTTGAATATGATTTTCAACTAAAAAAAGACAATAGAGAAAAATAGTCTTACAGCATTATTGTATTTTACAGGGATGAGAGTAGTCAGAAAGTAAAAAAGAGGAAATAAAAAAAAAAAAAATATATATATATATAAACAAAAATTTGACAAAAAAAAAGCGATTTTTAAACTTGTAAACCATGTGAATATAAATCCCGATACGAGACTTTTAAATCGCGTAAATATGAAACTCTACATCGAATTTAAAAAATGTGAAAATACAAATAACGAATTCCTTAAATTTTTTGATCACGATGCAAAATTTTTAAAACTCGCGATATTACAACCACAAAAACGAATCACGATATTGGATTTTTAGCTCGCGTGAATACAAATTGCTACATAGGGCATTAAAAGCTCGTAAATACAAATCGCGACATTGATTTTTAAATCTCATAAGTAAGAATCGCAATGTACAATATTTAAATCGCCTGAATAAGAATCGCAATGTTCAACTTTTAAATCAGGTAAATACGAAAATCAAGATTTGATAATAAAATTGCGATTTTAAAAATGCATAAATATAAAACACGATATTGGATTTTTAAATGTCGTAAATAAGAATCATAATATACGATATTTAAATAGCGTAAATAAGAATCGCAATGTGCAACTTTTAAATCAGGTAAATACGAAAATCGATGATTGATATTAAAATCGCGTGAATAAAAATCGAGATCTGAATTACGAAAATACGAGCTATCCAGCCGACGGATAAAAAATACGGAAAATCTTATTTTCTGTGCGTGAAATCGGAGAAAATAGCTAAAATAAGTAAAAATGCGGAAGGGTTAGCAGCTAGGGCGTAGATTGAATTTTCTGTTTATCTTTGAAAATCGTAAATAAATATAATTATTTTACTTCAATGACTGAATTTAAAAAAAACGGGATATTTATTTAAAAAAACGAAACTTTTAGAGAATCGGAGTTTTTGATAAAAAGGCTGAAATTCGAGACAAAAGCGAAAAAAATCTCATCCCTGTACAAAGGTCAACCAGTTTTATCCCTAGGAAATGATTTTTAGAGAAACTTCAGAGGGAGGTAAAGGTACTTCAATAATTTTCCTCCTCATAAAATATTTTAACTTGTGCAAAAAAAAAAAAATTTCAGCGGAAATTAGCGGGAAAAATCTGAAAAAAAAAAAAAAAAAAAAAAAGCGGAAATCTGAGGAAGAATCTCATCTCGGATTTTAATAGAAATAAGTATTATTCATAAGATCTTTTGTCATTGGCTCTATCCTTTTCAATAACAATAAAATTAAAAATCAAATGGAAAGTATAAAAAAAAACTAAAATATCTAAATTAATAAATAAACTAAAACAATTATGCGTAACATGTTTCATACTATTTGGATCACTAAAATGTAGACTTCTGAGAGCAAAATTTTAATCTCTCTCTACAATACATTTTATAAACACAAAGATAACACAAAAATCCAAAAACTTTTTTGAAACAATTATTTGTATAAATGAAGTTTACTATTTTAGATACAATATGCTTAATAGTTACAAAATAGTTAATACTTACAT